TAGCAATTACGCATTCATTGACAAAACAAATAACCCAGACCACGATAGTGCCAGATTGATATCACAGATGCCTTGGTATGTTTGATACTGAGTGTTTCATAAAATGTTCATTAAATGACTTTGATTTGACAACGTTGAACTGAATATTATTTTTGAATAAACACAACTGTGTATAAATACGACACTTCCCAGTAAACTGGCTGGCCTGGTCACATTGCAATCTTGTATCATCGACATCCGACCTATTGGAGCTGCTGATGGCCTTGGCGACCGAGCAGCAGTGGCCTCGGACTTCGAAGAATTTATCATTGCATTTCATTTATCTCATTATGGTGAAAACCTCATCATATTTTTATGAGCGCTTTTGTTTTTTTTGCCGAGCCGAATGTGTTCACCTCGGTCCTGTGCGGTACCTGGCTTTGCACCATTTGACAGTCGAGGTCTCGTCATCATCGATGCGCCTTTCTGATTGCTCCCGGAGCGTGGAACGGTTCCGAGTGAAGTCGGTGCGGGAGTCTGCTCACATTATCACGCGAACCGATAAAGCTGGTAATTTTAAACATTAAAATCTCGTGGGTTGAGAATCGCGAGCTCCAGTTACATGAAAAGCCCGTCTGGTCTGAAAGTCGTAGGAAATATTTTTTGAGATGAAAACCGGTGTAACTCGATTTTACTTTATCGTCTGGTCGGTGTAAATGTCGAAGTCGGTGTATCTTTTGCAATGTTCTAGTTTTTTTTTTTTTTATTAAATCTTTTATTATTATTTAATATTTTTTTTTTTTTTATATTTAAAAGAAACATGAAAATTGAGCAGCCTATGCACCAGATTGTTTTAATGCCACCACTGATGTTGGTGAATCTTTTACCACTAGATTTACAGTATGCATTAGCTGGAGATAGCAATAAATGTTATTAAAAAAATATATAAAATCGTTTTATGTATGCATTTATGTATATATTGAAAAATGAAACATTTTGTTTCTTTTGATTTGAGTATAATTTTTGTGTTGGATCTAGAGCAAGATATGTATTTAGAAATTAGGTTGGAAAATTTCAAGATGAGCAGTCATTTTGTTATAGTCCCGGGAATAACGCAACAAGCCTATAAAATCAAATTGGAGGATTCTAAACAAAGAAAATTATATCTAACAGCTGAAGTTTCATTAAATAGGGACGCAAAGATCAAGGTATATCTTATAAATTTTTATACAAACATGTTAAATAAAAAGATAAAAAAGAATTACCTTATATTTTTATAACTAAGTTAGTCGCGATATATAAGCGATATATTTTTTTAGATATCCATTCTGGCCTCGTATTGGATTGTAAATAGAACAGGACTTCCGATCGTTTTTAAACAGTCGGGAACCTCCATGGAAGCTGTGAGATTGACAGTTTGATGAGCACGAGCAAGCGAGAATGGTCTCTGCCTTTGCTTTTAGTTTTTTGGAACACGATACTAGTCAAACCATAAATGCTAGAGTCGGTAAAAGAGTCGTCTGGGATGGGACACCACAAGTAAGTGTCATATTCGAAGAATAGATGCAAATAAAGCATTTTTTAAATGTGGTACATTTGAACTACTAGGCTTGAAGTATTTTCTACATTAGTCTGTCACTGCCATATCTTCTGTCTGTAGAAAAACTATTTCTAATAATACACTCACCGGCAAAAAAAAACCGGCCACTAAAAACTAGTCCCAATTTCAAAGTCGGATTTCTCGCGAACCACTCATTAGATTTTAATGATTTTTTTTTAAATTGTAAATTAATTTCTTCTTAACGGATGCCATGTCAGAAATTATTCCGAATTTATTTTGAGCATATATATATTTACTACTGCTGCTGTACCCCTACAGGGTGTTACAAAGTTCGGGCAAAAAACTTCGGCTTATTGGTGTGCTCTGTTTATCCTCAAAATAAATTCGGAATAAAAATTTCTGACGTAGCATCCGTTAAGAAGGAATTAATTTACAATTTAAAAAAAATTATCACAATCTAATGAGTGGTTCGCGAGAAATCCAACTTTGAAATTGGGACTAGTTTTTAGTGGCCGGGTTTTTTTGCCGGAGAGTTTATATTATTTTGTATTTTAATGATACATTTGAACTATTATGCTTGAATTAGTAATATAGAAGCAGACTATATCTCCACAGATTATTTTGTATTTAATAGTACATTTGAACTACTATATTTGAAGTATTTTCTATGTTAATTTGTCAGTGTTATACCTTCTTTCTATGGAAAGACTATATCCAGTAATAGAGAGTTTTGAATTTTAGTGGTGTTCAAATTTTCATGTAAGAAAAGGCACACAATATCGCAAGTTATACGTAACTATACGCGAGGATAGGTCAGATAGAGTCTTCATCATAGGAATCGAAGTACGATTTGGTAGAGGCAAATACAGAAATACCACGATCATATTCATATCGCCCAGATTCCAACTACACAACAAAAGTTCCTATAAGTTAGCCTTTGCACAGTCACATATGGTCAAAAATTCAGTAAGTATTTTTGTAGTTTTTTTCCTATGAATTACACATTTTTTAATTAATTTTAGATCAACAGCCCACAGAGTAGAAAAGCTTTTATGAAAGCTGTGCCAAATTCTCATTTGCCTTTCCATTGGTCTGTCCTAGACAAGCCTTTGCTTCTCAGCGTTTCGATTGAAGATATTCCTGATTGTGGATGGTCAGGAGGATTCCAAATCGACACAGACAATTCAATGCATATAAATATAAGGTATAGTCAGATTCATTTTAGGGTTCCGTACCCAAAGGGTAAAACGGGAACCCTATTACTAAGACTTCGCTGTCCGTCCGTCCGTCTGTCACAAAGGTCTATCTTATGAACCGTTATAGCTAGATAGTTGATATTTTCACAGATAATGTATCTATGTTGCCGCTATAAGAACAAATACTAAAACAGACTAAATAAATAAATGTTTATAAACAAAAAGTACTTTCACTAAACATTATCTTTTAAGCAAGAATTTTACATAGAATCTTTCAAGTCCTCGGTGGTCGCGTGGTTAAAGCGTTAGACTTTACGCTGCTATGACGCTGGAGCCGTAATAAGGCAGGTTCGAATCCTAGTCAAGGCGAGTTTTTTTAATCGTTTTTTTTAATTTTTACATTTTTACATATATATTTTTACTTTACATATTTATTTTTGATTATATTGACAATTTTAGTAATGTGTTTCTTCATTTTTTTTTAAATTACTTATACGCGCATTCAAAATTTCAGCTAAATCGGAAAAAAGTTCATAATAATATAGTGCCTAATGTTGTATAGATAATGAATGGTAAGGAACCCTTCGTGCGGGAGTCCGACTCGCACTTGACCAATTTTTTTATAGAGATGCCAATTCGAGAGTATACTTTCTTCGTCTCGAAGTTGTTCTACAGGGTGCTACATATTATGTGGTGTTTACTGATGCTTATAGATAATTTTTCCGAAGTGTCTATTATATTTGGACAGAGTGGTTGTGAATTGCTTAGTACAGGTAGATATATTTACAGTCTGTTCAGCAAGAGAATATCACTCTTGACACTTCAGAGAATGCCACGTTATATTATGTTAACTTTGGCAAAATGAACACTAATTATGGGATTATTAAAAAAGGATAGAACATTTTCAGAGAGATTTTTTTTAGAAAAATATATTTTTATTGTGAAATTAATTTAATACTACACCATTTAAAAATCATTTTAAAAATCATTTTTACTCAATATAAAAATAAATTACAACCTCCCAAAGGATAAGGAAGAGTACAGGTCACGCAACTGACGTCTAAGGTTTGACCTCGCCAAAATTATTATCGGTTGTCATTCCCCAGCCGTCTTTGACGCCGTTTTTTTTACGTACGGTATATTTTAAAAATTTACCTTCAGATGTAAATTTCCACAGCTGAGATCTTTGCCCAGGTATCTTCCTAGCCAAAATAACTTTATTGTTTCGTCCTATATCCAACACCAATTCCTGGCATTCCACTTCTTGAGGATCTTTCACCTTCTGATGACTGAAACACACCCACCTTTAATTTAGACATTATTTAAACGAATGCTGTTTACTTTTTAAACGTTCCCACGAAAGCAATATATATGAAATTTTCGTAGGTTAATTCCGTCGTCGGGCCTAAGTTGTTGAGATTATACGCATGGGTTACGCCTCCTGGAGCTATCAGTTTTATGTAATTCGCTTTGGTGGGTTCATCCAGAGCGTAAGGCACACTAGAATGGGCTCTTGCTAAAAAATGGTAGAGATATAGTGTTTTTTTAGGTTAACATAATATAACGTGGCATTCTCTGAAGTGTCAAGAGTGATATTCTCTTGCTGAACAGACTGTAAATATATCTACCTGTACTAAGCAATTCACAACCACTCTGTCCAAATATAATAGACACTTCGGAAAAATTATCTACTCTTATAGGAGGCGGCATGGTGTCAGCATCAGTAAACACCACATAATATCTTAACCCTGTAGAACAACTTCGAGACGAAGAAAGTATACTCTCGAATTGGCATCTCTATAAAAAAAATTGGTAGGAGTACGGGTCGGACTCGCGCACGAAGGGTTCAGTACCATTCATTATCTATACAACATTAGGCACTATATTGTATGAACTTTTTTCCGATTTAGCTGAAATTTTGAATGCGCGTATAAGTAATTTAAAAAAATGAAGAAACACATTACTAAAAATTGTCAATATAATCAAAAATAAATATGTAAAAGTAAAATATATGTAAAATATGTAAAAATTAAAAAAAAACGATTAAAAAAACTCGCCTTGACTAGGATTCGAGCCTGCCTTATTACGGCTCCAACGTCATAGCAGCGTAAAGTCCTAACGCTTTAACTACGCGGCCACCGAGGACTTGAAAGATTCTATGTAAAATTCTTACTTAAAAAGATAATGTTTAGTGAAATTTTTGTTTGCCAACATTTTATTTAATTCTGTTTTTAGTATTTGTTCATAGCGGCAACATAGATACATTATCTGTGAAAATATCAACTATCTAGCTATAACGGTTCACATAAGATAGACCTTTGCGACAGACGGACGGACGGACAGCGAGTATGCTTAGTAATAGGGTTCCATTTTTACCCTTTGGGTACGGAACCCTAAAAATGGTCTGACTATACCTTATATTTATATGCATTGAATTGTCTGTGTCGATTTGGAATCCTCCTGACCATCCACAATCAGGAATATCTTCAATCGAAACGCTGAGAAGCAAAACATCAGGTTGATTGTGGAAGAACAAATAGAAGACTGGCTTTCCAAGCTTTTCTCTGTTGATCTAGAAATTAATTAAAAAATGTATGTAATTTATAGCCGAAACTACAAAAAGCTTACAGATTTTTGACCATATGTGTTTGTGCAAAGGCCCAACTTATAGGAACTTTTGTTGTGTAGTTGGAATCTGGGCGATATGAATATGATCGTGGTATTTCTGTATTTGCCTCTACCAAATCGTACTTCGATTCCTATGATGAAGACTCTATCTGACCTATCCTCGCGTATAGTTACGTATAACTTGCGATATTGTGTGCCTTTTCTTACATGAAAATTTGAACACCACTAAAATTCAAAACTCTCTATTACTGGATATAGTCTTTCCATAGAAAGAAGGTATAACACTGACAAATTAACGCGAAAATACTTCCAAATATAGTAGTTCAAAATGTACTATTAATACAAAATAATCTATTATTAGATATAGTCTGCTTCTATATTACTAATTCAAGCATAATAGTTCAAATGCTATCATTAAATACAAAATAATATAAACTCTCCGGCAAAAAACTACGGCCACTAAAAACTAGTCCCAATTTAAAGAGTTGGATTTCTGCTTGAACCACTCATTAGATTGTGATAATTTTTTTAAATTATTAAATTAATTCCTTCTTAACGGATGCTACGTCAAATTTATTCAATTTATTTTGAGGGATAAACAGAGCACACCAATAAGCCGAAGTTTTTTGCCCGAACTTTCTTTCTAACACCTATGGATGGTGCCTTGATGATAAATATATATATGCTCAAAATAAATTCGGAATAAAATTTCTGACATCCGTTAGAAGAGTAATTTCAATTTAAAAAAATCATTAAAATCTATTAGGTAGTTTCATGAAAATCGACTGAAAGTGGGACTAGTTTTAATTAAATAGTTTGGGAATGAAGGTGTTTATTAGAAATAGTTTTTCTACAGACAGAAGATATGGCAGTGACAGACTAATGTAGAAAATACTTCAAGCCTAGTAGTTCAAATGTACCACATTTAAAAAATGCTTTATTTGCATCTATTCTTCGAATATGACACTTACTTGTGGTGTCCCATCCCAGACGACTCTTTTACCGACTCTAGCATTTATGGTTTGACTAGTATCGTGTTCCAAAAAACTAAAAAGCAAAGGCGAGACCATTCTCGCTTGCTCGTGCTCATCAAACTGTCCTGCAGCTTCCATGGAGGTTCCCGACTGTTTAAAAACGATCGGAAGTCCTGTTCTATTTACAATCCAATACGAGGCCAGAATGGATATCTAAAAATATATCGCTTATATATCGCGACTAACTTAGTTATAAAAATAGGTAATTCTTTTATCTTTTTATTTAACATGTTTGTATAAAAATTTATAAGATATACCTTGATCTTTGCGTCCCTATTTAATGAAACTTCAGCTGTTAGATATAATTTTCTTTGTTTAGAATCCTCCAATTTGATTTTATAGGCTTGTTGCGTTATTCCCGGGACTATAACAAAATGACTGCTCATCTTGAAATTTTCCAACCTAATTTCTAAATACATATCTTGCTCTAGATCAACCTAAAAATTATACTCAATCAAAACAAAGAATGTTTCATTTTCAATAGGAGTTACATGTGTCAATGCTGCGCTACACCCTGGTTTAATAACATTGCTATTCCAGCCAATGCATACAATAATCAGTGGTAAAAAAGATTCACCAACATCAGTGGTGGCATTAAAACAATCTGGTGCATAGGCTGCTCAATTTTCATGTTTCTTTCAACCAAGACTTTTTCCCGCAACGATTGAGCGCAAAATCTAGAATATTAAATGAAATGAACAGTAAAAACTGAAGATTTTCTCTGGTCAACAAGAATAAATTGTTACAAAGTCTTTCCATCGAAAGAATACACGACTGACAGTAATTTTTGACAGATGACGTCGTAAAATGACAGTTACGGACTGTCATCTGTCAAAATGTTTCCTGACTCGTTGGACAGACTTTATGCTTAACAAGATATAATTTATAACCACAGATTTAATGTTTAAATTATAACCTGTAGTTGTCTCCCTTGTGTGTATGACAGGCTCCACTTTGTATTCTTTGACTACTCAAAGATTCGTTCCACATCAGGGTAGTATTAGAAAACGTATATTGATGAGCTAGTCCTGTTGGTCTAATATTTATCAAAGAATGGGCATGCGCTATAGGTAAAGCCAGACACCCTTTAGGTTCCAGTGTACAATTTTTGTTGGTAAATCAAAAACAAAGTATTTAAAAAAAAAAAAAAAAAAAAAAAAAATTTATATTTAATTACAATGGAAATGAAATCATGAGGTAATCTACTTTCCAACTTCATTTCGATGGCGTGAGGTAAATTATTGGTAATTCTTAGTCCGGACCTCACTGTAACTAATTTTCTTGCTGATCCTTCCAAGGCCACATCAGAGCTCAACTCAGGTGGAAAATATCGATGATCCCAGAAATTATTCATAAAGATTTTACAAAGAATAATGGACAAACTGTGGATTTACATGCACAAATTAAGTGTCATTGTTTATACGCAGTTTTATTGGCTCTATTTCAAAAATAATATACCATAGTTCAACGTTGTATAAAATCAAAGAATCATCATTTAATGAACGATTTTTATGAAACACTCTTTATATCGTAGAAGTATCAAACATACCCTATTAAGAACATCTGCTGGAGTATCCCTAAAATACGTGCCAACTTTATCGATAGTTATAGGTTCAACTGGGTGCCATCCATCTATTTTGACTGTCAAATAGTGCAGCTCCAATTTATGAGAATTTTGATACCTTGATTTACCTATGAAAAATACAAAAACTTATAAAAAAAAAAAAAACGATAATTAGTATGTTAGTATAGGACATAAATTTGGATTGATCTCAATTCTTTTCTGGTCACTTCCTGTTTCACTGGAATGACTGAAATTAAAATTAGTAGTTTTATCACAGCTTCAAGCACTTTTAGGGGATGGCACTTTTAAAATACTCTATTTTTAAGCAAATATGTCAGTTGTTGATTGTTTAAAATGTCATTCTATCTTAGAAATGTCATTTCTATCGAATAAAACAAAAATATCGAGAGTTCCCATTTAAAAATCAAAAATTTTATTTATTTATTCTAAAAACTGTTTTTCTAAAATGAATAATCGAAAAATTGAATAACATACACAAATCCTGATTTGTCATATACATACATACCAAATCTCGTTTTTATCTGAAAAATAAGAAAGTTATAAGGGAAACACTTTGAAAAAAACACCTTGTATGGCATTGAACTCTGAAATATATAAAAAATTTTATGTCCTCTAAATACCCTCTGTTAGTAAAAGAAAACGGTATCGTGTCCCCAGCTTCCGCAATAATCCAGTTATCCTCATTATTCGGTATCAGAGGTTTTGGAGTATTCAAGTTGCTCAAGAGCAAGGTAAACTTCAAACTGCTACCCGTGTCGTTCTTTAAAGCAAAAGGTATAAAAGGAGACCTTCTTCTGAAACTCATTGTGCCTTTCTGCGCGACACTGGACTTCTTCATGAAATCATTAATCCAGTTTTCTTTAACTTGTCTGTACAAGTCCATAAAGGTGGAGGTCATGTTGAAGTTTAACGTGTGATCTGATTGGACCTTTAGCTTGAGGCGGGTCTTTAACATTTGTGGCATGTTTTTCTCCCACGATATTTTACAGCTAAAATTATGAAAAAAAAAAAAAAAAAAATTAGGAGTAAAAATGATTTCTTTTGTGGTGAGGTTGAGTACAAAACGTACAAAAAGTATTATATTTTTCAAACGTCATAAAAGTATTAACTTTTAAGACGTGATTGACAATATAAAAAAGCCATCTTAACGCCTAGGCATAAGAATAAAGCACTTTATGCCTAGGTATAAAAGTACGAAAATATATTTTCATTAAACATGGCATGAAAGTAACAAATTCAACGAGAGCAACCATAGATTCCTCGATATACAGGGCTGTTGACCAAGGAGACGACACGGAGTATTGTAGCCAAAACGATTAGATTTTTTAAAATTGTAAATTTTTTTTTTTTATTTTTTTTTATTAGAGCTACAATTTAGTAAACATTTTACAAGATACAGAGTGTCCCAAAATAAATAAAAAATATCAAAGTTACTTTTTTAAATGATCACCCAGAAGATAATACATTTTTAGTTTCTACGATTAAAATAAATTTGATAAAGGTTTATTACACTTAAACCTTACAGTTTTGAAATATTTCTCACCTTTGTGAAATTGTAGTCAAAATTTTAAGGCTTCATTTCCAAGGATATCAAAGTTTTAATACTCAAATATTTACTGAAGTTTATTTTATTGATGAGTTATTGTGTTGCACAATTAAAATTATACTATTTTATATAGAGGTCTAAAAATTTTATTTTTAAATACCAAAAAAAAATATTCACACTATTTTATCCAATAGCGTTTTTAGAAAGAGATGAGAATCAGATGCACACTTAATTGTTCATCAAATTGTATTATAATTTGATAGACAATAAAATTAAAAAAAAAAAAAATTTTCTTGTAATTTTAAATTCATTTATTTTTTTTTTTTTTTAGATTATTTTAAAGATGTACCAAATTTTTAAAGAGTACAGATACCAAAATTGTCGATGGTGGAAGCTCATTTCCATTTCCATTAAAAATAAAAACTACTTAAATATTTTGTTAAAGAGGACCAATCAATATGATTCCAGTATTCAAACCTACATTGATTGGACTGGGTTTATCTGATTTCAATAATAATTGCTCCAAAACTAAAAAAACTGAATTTTTTATGTGTATTAGACAGTGTGGTAAAAGTAACACCTTAAAATGATATTTCATTTTTCACAAATGCCATTTGTAACAGAGACATTCATTTTATAACTTTATTATTATATTGATTTCATCCAAATCCATTTATTTAGAATAATTTATTCATGAAATATAATTAAGTATGTAATTAATTAGTATTTGGGTGGGAAATAATGGTGGTATATTTAATTAATGGTGTACTCTTTATGAAGATTTAAATAGTTTCTTTTGCATACACGGCTTTAGGGCTAGTAATATTACCATTTTGTTAAAAAACGTACATTTGTACACTTGTTGCTTTAAAACAATCTAAAATGTCAATATTCCATGGGTATATTGATAAATGAGGTCTAAATTATAAGAAATGCATTTCTACGAAAACTCATGGATAGGTAAAAGTGGTATAATACAATCTGATAGACAAATTAAATTATGCATCCGATTCTCCTAAAAATATACAGGGCGTCTACTTAAATTAAAACAACAAGCATTGCCAAGCTTAAAGCTAGTAATTATTTAAAATAAAATTTTAGACACTCTAAACTTTTACTGCAATTTTAGACACACTAAATTTTTACTGCAATTTCACAAAATTGAAAATATTTCAAAAACGGTAAGGTTTAAGTGTGATAAACCTTAATAAAATTTACCTTTATTTCAATCGTAGAATCTAAAAATAGAATGATATACAGGGTATTCTATTTAAAAAAATACAACTATAACATTTTTTACTTATTTGGGACACTCTGTATCTTTTAAAATTATTTCTAAATTGTAGCTCTAATAGTCCTTCAACGAACCCAAAACTTAAAATTTGTAAAAATCTAATCGTTTAGCTACAATATTCCGTGTCGTATGTGGTGAACAACCCTGTATAATTACATACAAGGTATGACTTTTAAATATTTTTATACTATTTGGAACGTTTGAAATTGTTTAAAAACTTATTTGTGGCGTTTGAAAAAAAATTGCATGTTCTATTCGGAGTAAAAATTACTTATTGTGCCTCGGCTGTATGTCGTCAAACGTACACAGCCTCGCTACAAGTGTCATTTTAGCTCCTAATAAAACAATAAACTATTTTACTAGAAAAAAATAGCAGGTTTGCTATTTCTTTTTCAAACGTCCACAAATAATGTTTTAAACAATTTCAAACGTCAATTTAAAATAATATAAAAAGTAATAACTTGTAAGTAATTATATGTATATCGAGCAATAATGAATACAGTTAAATTTGACAATTAATATCAGTTATTCTTTTGTTACAGGACATCATCAGGACATGTTGAATTGATTCTACATTATTATTTTAATAACTCAATAATAAAAAAATCAAATTGTGTGCAAACTTTTACAGAATTACTCTTTTATAATAATTTCACTTACATCCAAGGTTCAATTATTGGTTCCCATCCAGAAAGAACCCTGTTGTAATAGTCGCTAGCCAGAGAGCAGTGTATATAACCATTAGAACCAACTGGATTTGTAAAATTTATATCAGGCAACGTTTGTACGAATTCCAGATCAGAGAACAGCAGCTCTATTAAGGGTACATCAGAATCACCACAATCGTCGATGATACAGATGGAAATACAACTAGCTTTAATCTAAAAATAAAACAAAAATATATAACAGAATGCAAAAAAAAATGTTTTAAATAATCATGATACACATACAACTACATTGATACTAAAGGCAAGCAAAAAGTTATATAATTTTTTTTTATTATATAGAAATAACAGCCTCAACTGTTGTTTCGAAATAACATCTGGTAGTGGAACTGTTACTATTATTTAAAAATAACATGTTTCTGTTATTTATATTTTTTTCGTTGCTTGCATAGTTTGGATTATAATGTTCATATAGAGTTGAATTCCACATGACATAACAACAACCTGTCTGTCAAACGATAGAAATGCTTTTGATAGAGACATTCAGAAGTTGACAGAAAAATCAATTTTATTTGAATTAAAGCTGTATTCCGTTGCAAAACCAGGCGAACCAGACCGGTAAACTACGGTAAAGAGCAGTTCCTGAAAAACATCGGTTTGTTACGGAACGGTTTGGTAAAATACTGAAAACGTTTTCTAAATTTCAATACCTCTATTATAAAATTTATCTTTTATGCATTTTTAATGTACCTATTCTCTGCTTTTACGTTTGATTCGTCTTTTCAATGGAGTTTAATATTGAAAAGTACTTTATTAATAAACTGATAAACTCGTTAGACAGCTCAAATGAAGATTTGCAGGTCGAATGTTAAAACAGATCAATAATAAATAAACAAATCTAATCAATATTTATATTTTTATAGCTTACAAAACATTCACGATTACTTGTCTTGTTTTTCATGTTTTCTTTAAATGTTCCTGACTTTAAGAAACAATGGCTGCATGATAAATTTAAATGGTCCTAAAAAGTCATTCTATTTAGTTAATGAAATTTATTTTACCTTTACTGCCTACCTCCATTGCTTTTGGATGTAAATACAAAATATTGTTACAAATTTTAGAAATTAAATGAAAATATCACTAGAACTTCCAGTATTTGCTTGATTTCTGTCACATAAATGACAATGATTGACAAACAAAACCAGAAAAACCAGCCTTCTCGCGCTGGTTAGTTTGGTGACAGTAATAACCGAATTTTTCGGAAACCGTGTTCCGTAATAAGAAAACTTTCAGGAAACCAATGGAAACAGAACATAAAACCATAACCAAGGTAAACAACGAAATACACCCTAAAATAACAATCAACAAGAGTCACTGTCATGAATTCTGTCATTGAACAGACAACGCCAGTTGTGTATGTATCGTGCAAATAATTGTGTCCTTACTTCAATGGTTTTTATATCTAAAGTTTTCTTCTGTTTAATGTTATAATTAACTTTGGCATGCTGAGTCAGCCAAATTGCTGCGTCATCCAGTCTATTTTCAGATGTTTCCAAGGCTTTCAAACAATCTTCGTTGTTAAAACCCAGCGCCATTAATACCTTTAATTTATTTCTTAATTTAGGAGATTCTTCTATTTCTTTTTCCTGTCCAGTCATGAATTGTTTTGGTAAAGAGTCCAACATTTGTCTAGAAATTTTACAAATTATTAGAAAACTATCTATAACTTTGAAACAATAATCAGGAAAAACTCTTGTCAATGTATATTACATGTTTTATCTGTTATAAACCTACTTGAACATGCACATGTCATGATAAGACAATCGAACTGTCAAAAACTGTAGCTGTATTTCCATAAGACCATCTTTAACTACTTCAATGTTCAGAGTGATTGGGTCAATAATGGATAAGGCTGTTTCATCTTCAATTCCCAAAATACACGAAAACATTTCACAGTTATTTAAGCTACAGGACAATGGCTTTTCTAAATGGTTTGGCCGGTATTTTACCACTGTCGTACTCTAAAAAAACACTCAGTATCATAATACATTTAGTGTTTTCAAATTGCTTTACCTTTAAAATAACTGCGTTACTATCCCACTGAGCTGAATCTTCAACAACTACCAGCTCAGAATCTGTAACGTTTAGTTTAAGTTCAAAAGAAATATCTCGACCAGTACTCAGAGTTTTCGTTATTTTCTGATGCTCAGGACTGGTATAAATCATCTCAAACTCCTGGAAAATAAACTCCCTCACTGATTCCCACCAATCAAATATCGCCATCAGTCTAAAACAATTAAAATATTGAATTATATAGAACGGGTCATTTGAAATACTTTCGTTTACCTCATGTTATTCAGTAAAATCGTCACTTTTATGTGATCCTGCCGTCTCCTGCTGTGTATTTCGGCCTGGACAAGATCACTGGACCCTGCAGAGTTCTTTATAGGCTGCAGGATATTCGTAAATACGTTATTATTGTTTTTAGACTCGTGTTCTGAACCTTCAAATCTTGTATCTGTAAGAAAAAACGTATTATCAAAATGTATGTATGTTTGGTGTTCGATTGATTTATTTTACCAAGAACTAGAATTTCTTGTGAAACTAGGTCAACATCTTGACTTAGATTACTGAATGTTTCAACAGTTAAGTGTGATTTTATGAAGTTGATGCATGTTAATGGTGAGTGGTATCCATGAGACATTACCAACCGTAAAGAAACGTTTTGCATGTTCAATTTTATGGATGATATAATCCATTCTTCTCTGGATTCCATCTAAAATATGTAAAGCATAATATATTGATAAATTTGATGTCAAAATTAACAAATATTTATTAAAATAAACCTAAATCCAGAAATTCATATTATCTCTATTGATTTAAATGACATGTTTTTCAATGAGTTTCTGGCTGACTTGTAGAGATAGTTCTTTACACATAACATTTCGTTTAAAACAAACATTTAACACTGTGTAAGATAAAGCTTTGGTTCAAACGAAAAATATTAGATTGCTTTTGCAAGCCAAAACCAAAAAATATCAAATTCGATTGAGTAGTTCAAAAAATGCAAATTGCTGAATTTAATGTTATTTTTTTTAAATTCGCGTGTATACTATTAAAACAATAACCTCAATGCTAGCACTCCTCAAATAGACCGAAGGAAATATTCTTTCCGTATCTTCACCCAAATTATAAGTCAATAAACCTCTGATTAATTTGTACTGTTGTAAGTCTAATGCTCCGTCTAGAGTAGACAAATTTCCATATATACTCGAATCGGCAACGATGTGACAGAAGTTTTTGTACAAGTTCCTTTCATACTGAAGTTTTAGTTCAAACTTTTTCGTTAACAAAGACGGTCCTTTTCTCATAATAAACGACGAACCAAATTTAAAGCTATTATCTGAAGACTTCTTTAAAGGACTGAGTTCGCTCTCTTTGATGCCTGTGTACAGGTCCATGTTTTCTAAGTTAATGTGCATCACCTCAAGGAGGCACTTCTTTTTGGATTCTGTATCGGATAAGACGCTTATAGTGCCTTCGTCACCAGAAAGTTTGAAAGTGTTTGTGATCACGAGTTGTCCTAGGTCAATGATGAGTAAACTGGTAGATTTTGAGCTTACAGGAAGTAGGATTATTGGAGAACCAACCTTGAGATTGAGTGACAACCGGAAAGGTTCACTTGAAACCTACAAAAAATAATTTTCTATTGTTAGCAGTGTGTTGAACCATTATAATTATAATTTGTTTGAATCAAAGTGTCTAAATTGTTTCAGTACTTACTAATTTTCCACTGGTAGCTGCATGTATACCCTTCATCACTGTTGCCTGCCTTTCAATAAACTTGTTAAAAAACGCCTGTATTTCCGCTACAAACCGCTTAGTGTGAACGTACATAACTGACGCCATATCCAACTTCAATAGCGCATCATATTCTTTTTCAGCGCTTGGCGCATGCCTGCAACAATCATATTTTTAATTCCTACCCTGTTTAAAAGAATAAATCTTTATATTATACCGTATATATTGAAACTGCAAAGCTTCTTTCCCAGATGTAAGGAACCTTTCACGATAGATTTGACCGTGTAATGTCATGTCTAACAGCGACATAGAACCTAATTTTCCAGTGACTTCTTTGTATAATCCTCGAGTGCTTATTAGAATTTCAACGCTGGATATGTTCGCTCTGGCTATTTCCATGTCTGGCTTGACCAAAACCACTGTAAGAGAGCACACTGTAATATCTGTCAACGCCTGAAAAAAAAAGAAATAAAGAATAGTTAAATTCATTAGAAGAAAAAAGAGTATACTTACTTTATGTTTATTTTCTAAACTTGCTTTTCTCTCTTCAGTGCTGCTGCTCAGATTAGTGTTAGAAGAATATTTGCTGGCTGAATTGGAACCACTAAAAAAATCTATAACCACCACCCAAGATGGAACGCTTATCACCAAATCCAGACAACTGAAGTCCACGGATGTGGATCTGTGGGTGGAATTATACTGGGTGTCGAAATTTGGAGCTGCTGGATCCACGATAATTGAGGAAACAAGAACAAGATTCTTTTCTAGTCTCGTACGACCATGAGTGGGGCTTGGAGGTGGTGTTGATGGATAATTAGATGTTTCAGGTCTGAAATTCCTAAAAATATGGTTTTTAATCACCTAAATTTTCAAAGCAAAAAGTATCGGTAAATGTGTCTTTTATATAATTAAAATTACACAGTTATAATATGATACTTACTCTGTATTTTGGGGAATATGCACCGTCCCGAAGACGTTGCCCGTTTCTAAGTGATCGGGCAAAGATCCATGCATCACACCGGAAATGTGAGGATGTGAGGTTATATCAGGGCAGGATCTTGACACGCAAGTCGTGTTTGGTGGTGGATCCGATCCGTTTGAAGATATAACCATGGAACGTTGCCTAAAAAATACTTTATTAAAGTAAATAATAGTTATTTATACACCAAAGGTGTTAGTAAAGGGATAATAATGTTGGTAAGCCGCTTTGTATTTCATAAAGAATATATTTGGGTTGGCATTTCTGGCCTAACGACATCCATCAGCGAGTCCGCCTAAATATTCAAAGTGCTAGTGACCGAATGAAGGAACACTACGACATTCAAGCTGAGCATGGAGGACACCAACCAGGGAAGTTGGTGTGGCTATACAACCCGCAGAGACGTCGTGGGTTATCTCCGAAGCTACAATCCTCGTGGGGAAGGGCCATACGAAGTCATGGATAGGATTAATGACGTCGTATACCGTATCAGAAAATTGCCAAAAGGAAAACCGAATTCGGAGATGTCCTTTGACGATTTCATGGCCCGATACAACAGCAGTGAGAAGGCTCGCTATGTGTGTAACCAAAGAAGATCAACGACACCTCTTTTCCGTGCCTGATTATTCGCTCGCTCATTGTATGGCCCGAGATTTGCGTGATGTCCAGAGGAATCGCTGCGACATTCAATGAGAAGTTTGGGCGTGTCGGAGAACTACGCCGACAGGATCCAGAGGTTGGATGCGTCTTGAGGCTAACCGACAATGCACATGGTCAAGCAAGACACATCTTTACCTGGTCACCAAGAAATGGTCCCCGAGTAAGCCGACTTATCTCAATCTATGGAAAACCCTGATTGAACTGAGAGAAGCCCTGCTAAACAACAACATTGCACGATTAGCCATTCCGAAGCTGGCATGAGGACTCGATGGTTTGAGTTGGCGTACAATCCGGAACATGATTGAAGTCTTGTTCAGATTTACGGGAATCGAGATCCTTGTTTGCTGCTACAACCCAAAGCTGAGATCGGGAGAGAAAACTGTAGACTGCTATTTCTACCAGACTTCGCAATGTACCAGGGGCCAGCTTTGCAAATACCTTCATTCAGGGGCAGTGTTGCGGACCGGTGTGGACTCGACCTAACCTAACTATATGGCCCGCCCTCGGATGACCTTAACATCGCATTAAAAGAATAGACACCGTAATGATTCATTCGAAGATTCGAGAGAATCGAGAGTCCCACTGGAATAAGAGTAGTACATACGAGAACATTCAAAACCTTTCTATGCACCTAACGATCTATGGACTATTCTAGAGACCTTTAGCTGTAGGAACAAAAGCCGGCGGCTGTGGCCTAAAGAGGGCAGTTGACGCGCAAAAATAAATAAATTCTTAGTTATAAATCGTTTGTAAATAGTTCTATAAGTCTTTTATCGTTACTGTTTTTGTTAATTAGTGTTAAATAAATAGTGTTTAAATATATTGTGACTTTCTATCCACACGGAACCGACGAAAAACGTAACAATACCTTGATCCTTCGGGTTGAAGCAAATCCTCCATAAAAATCGACCTCAGAGATATCAAGACGTTTGTCTCGTATTTGTGAGATTTTTCGTAGTTAAATTTAAAATCCTGAAAACTTAAATCGACCAATCCTTGCTCTCCGTTGGGCCCATCACCTCTCAGTTCTATGGTAAATATGGGCAGTTCAAAGTTTACTTTTATTAAAAGATTAATATTTTTGTGATGTGTTTTTCGTATTTTTTGTAAAAGAGGTGGAGCTAGGGGAGAAGAGTTTTGCTCTGATGTGGGGATCCATATTCAGTGTCGTTACACCTAAAATATATAATTTATTCCAGAGATACATACATCCAAATATCTTGGAATTATTTTAATGTCATTCTCGGTAAGAAAAAAAATAATTGTTCGAATATTTACGAATAATTTACCCGTATCTTCCTCTGTAATATCGCTAAGTATCGGCTGAGACCTGATATTAGTCCTAGAAACACCCTGTGAATCATTCAAAGTAGGGGAGGAAGTAAGCCACTGTACTGTATCCAAAACCTGTTCATACTGCGACCTTGACAATGACACTTTTAAAGCTGTCACTATACTTCCCGACACTTCAATAACGTTAGGCGGCTAAAATTATTAATAAAATATGTTATACAGGGTGGTCCGAACTATATTCCGGAAAATTCCTCAGCATATTCTGCAGATGAAAATAAGTAAAAAAGTTTGTATAAATGTTCTAAAATGCTAAGTTTCGGAGATACAGGGTGTAGAAATTTCTTTTCTGTCTTTCTATTTTTATTTCGATTTTTTCCAAATAATTTATTAGTAACGTCAATATTTCGATGAAAATTGGTGTCTGGAAGTTTTTTGACATGAAAAATTTGATTTTGATGTCAATGTAACTCCTACATATAGAGGGCGCCACCTACATATTTTTTAACTGGTTTGTAGAGTAATAACTTTTCGTCCGTATCTGTATAAAACTACTGAGGAAAAAAATATACATTTGCGACGTTTTTACGCGCAAATGTATATACTCTCGTTTCTCGAGATATTTGGAATCGAAATTATTAATACCTATCATCATTGACATAGATTAAACATGTTGACTAAATAGTTATTAGACTGAAATCATAAATTTGAAATGTGTTTGTGCCAAAAGTTCAACAGAAACTGTTTTGTCATCATTTTTTCGCAGAAAAATTTATGATTAATTTAAAAAATTAAAAATTTCCCAAATTATTTCAGTCAAATAACTATCAACGTGTTTATTTTTTGTCAATAATGACATGTATTGACTATTTCTATTCTAAATGTCTTGAGAACAGTTAGGTTAGGTTAGGAAATGTATATTTTTTTCACTCTGTAGATTTATACAGATACGGGCAAAGTTATTACTCTTCAAAACAGTTAAAACACATGTAGGTGGCGCCCGTTACTTCATAAATTATTTGGAAAAAATCGAAATAAAAATAATACCTAAAACTAAGCATTTTAGGACATAAATTTATAAGAACATTTTTACATATTTTTATCTGCAGAACATGCTGCCGAAGTTTCCGAAATACAGTTCGAACCACCCTGTATATTAATAAAAAAATTCAAATATACCTTCTCTAATAATGCATCATAATCTTCTTCGTTGTCTAAAAGAATACTCTCATCCATTTTTCCTTTACTATATTTTCTTATTTCTCTATCTATATTCAATTGAAGCATGGTGTCATGCAGAATAGGTTTGGCTAAATTTTTACAGCTATATAAAACCTCAGGCTTGCTTATCATTGGTCCAGGAACTCTTCTCGAACTGATATTCAACGAATATATATTCATATCTCTAACCTAGTAATTACAATTTTTTCATAATCATGATTTTTTGAAAAAATGCAATTTTCTTACCTCAAAATCGTAATGTTCTTTCCTACTCTCAGACGGATCATAGAAATAACCATCGTTAATACTATCGCTGGAATTGCTGTAACTATTAGTTATCTTGATTTTACCTAAATGGGCTACAAAAACCTCTGTACTGGCATGGGATCTAGGTAAAACCAAAACGGGACTGTCCAGTTCAATATCTAAATTAACGTCTAAAAAAAATTATATCAGTTTATTCACTTCATACATTGAGTGGTCAGAATTAAAACGGATCAAGACCTATTTCCTACTATTTTAAGATAATCGTTTTTATACGTCTATAAAATATTGTTTTTTCTAGTAGAGAAATAAAGTCATACTTCACGCATTAAGCAGCTATAGCCTGTTTCAGAAGTGAAATGGATCAAATCCATAAAATATACATCGCTGTGCGCGATTTTAACAAACGTGCTAAAGTTTAGAGCTAAAAAAATATTTTTTTGATAAAGTGGATGGCAATTGCTGTCCTCCATTCGCGAACTTCGAGTTCCGGGCTTAACGCCCTGGGGCTACTCGAGAACGGTTCTAAAAGGAACGGTGAGCGATAGCCTGGTGCCTCCATACGGCGCGGAACAGTTCTGGAACTTTATGACTCAATTGAATGGAGTGAGAGTATCGCGTTCTTGAAGAGTTCAGAGCTGCTCA